CCACTGTTGGCTGTGGCTGCCCAACTAGGCGTAGTCAAGGTATTGGTCCATATATGGCAAGACTGACTATACACCGAAACCGCAGGCAGACGCCGCAACCCGCATTCGTTATAACATTGCCGCAAGACGTATCAGAATGATTATGCAGCTCCCTTCAATAACTTTCTATTGTCTGTCGTAGCCCCGTACTGCAATAGTCACTTGCTAGCGGGTTCCCCTTTCTAGTTTGAGACAGACTGCTCACACTGGCTCCGAGACTTTTTTAGTTAGACAGTGATACGCCCACCAAGGTAGAGAACTCTTCCATGTCTTAGCCCTATGGCCGGTTTAGCAGAGCTATCAGGTTGCGGGTATAACCACTGGTAGTTACTGGATTCGAACTTCAGTCTGCAACTCGACAGTTTCGAGTAAGTATTGGCTGAGCAGTCTGCTACTGCACAAGTGGGAGGAAAGTTTCGGCCTGAACCTAGGAAGGCACACCATCTGGCCCTCCTCCTTCTCATCGATTGTGAGAACGACCGCTGCAATAGATCTATCCCTGAGATGCAGCCAGCCGTTGAGTCTCCCTGTCACTCACCTCTCAGGTATGTGCTCCCCTCTCCTACTCTCTCTCTCCAACCGAAGCATTTCACCAGCTCCGTCCACTTCTCACGAGGGAGCGCAAGATCTCACTAACGAAAGAGATGGTTACGAGGGAACAAAGACCACCTGAGTTGAGCCTTAGGACCGCTAACTAGATGATCAACAACGAACGCGACGAAGATCCCGCAGATGGAGACGACGGACGTGGCGACGATGTTGCACGAGATCTAAATGATAGCCACGGTCACGATCTTGGACTCTGCTGCACTAATCTCCAAGAGAAAAAAAAATAAATAAATAAAAATTGAATTGAATCTTTCGCTAGAACACAGGGAAGGTACATCCCTTACTCCTATAGTGGCTGCGCAGCCCAAGCCTCTTGTAGTGATCGAACCAGCGTCCCAATCAAAGAACCGTCGCGACCATTTGATCCGCAACACCTCAGAACCCCCGAATCGAATTTTCCTCCTCCCAAAACCGTCGAGGACAGGTGAGTTTGATTTTCTATCCCTTGTACTTCTTCCCTGTGCCATCCCTCTCATCTTTCTCTGTCTCTCCGTTTCGTGCGCACAATCATGTTCACACTCCACTCACATGCCCGCTTGCCATTCTTTAGACCCCCCTGGTCCGGAGTCTCAGTCAGGTTCATTTAGTTAACATACCACATAGCAGGCCCCGGTTGCTTCGCGTATGACAACCTTGTGACCATCTAGCACACCGCGAGCACAATGGCTATTCAATGATGACGAACAAGGGGGTCCTGCCCGTTGCTCACCGGGTCTGCAAAATGAGAATAAATCTTCCGCTAAAACGCGACAAGATTCATTACCATACTCAACCTCCCATAACAATGGCGCAGCCCCTACTGCTCATACTGGTCAAACCACTCCTCAAATTCGAGTTCCGACGTTGCCATCAGGTCCGGAGCGCTTTGAAAACTCAGACTAGCATCTTCAAACGCCCAAAACGGTCAAGAAATGACCGAGATTCATCGGTTTCCACTCCCACCTTTCTTCCTCTTTCAATTCCATCGCGGACCCTTTTTCTCATCTAGCTCTCTACCTACTAATCTAACACTAAAACTAACGCCTCCACTGAACTCGCCTGGTCACAAAACCCCGGGATAGCACATTTCCTTGCCTGTTTCCGTCAAGAAATAGACAAGTTATGACTTTCCTCTCTCCTTCACTCCTCCCTCTGCCCGCCATCGCCAAACTTCGTTTTCCTCTTCTTCCAGCTCACCTTCTCCGCTCCCCACCCCCGAGTGCTACACAAGCCGACAGCGCTCGGTCCTACACCGGCTGAAGTGGGAGGGGGACACAATCAAACTGCTTCGACGCCCATGGGGCCCTCTCTTTTAATGCCTTCCCAGAGGCTGATCAGGGTCTTACACACAGCGGGGTCATACGAGTTTTCCCTGTATCATTCCATTTTTAACAGGTGTCCCGTAGGACAGACCCGTGGACCTGGCCCTGGGGTGTCCCTTTGGAATTGTAGTATTCAACTGGTCTGCTTCCACTGCAGTTCGAACTCAGGTTTGTATTTCAACAGTCCCTAGGTGTACCTACCAAGTTCGGTCTGCTCTACTTGGGCATAGTTCACCATCTGCGGGTCCAATGGGCATGCTCACACTCAAACAGATTGTGGATGGCGGACATAGCATCCCCTGGCTGCGCCCTACTCTGTAGTGTGAGCCTAAGAAAATGGGTCCCGATGCAGATCCTGGTAGCTGTAGTAAGTATTGAAAAGAGAACTTTGAAGACCGAGTGTGGAAGAGTCTCATGGGCACAGCGGTGCACACAACACTGCTGCGGACCTTCCCACGGTGCCTTAGGCCGCTCCGCATTTTTCTGGTCCCAGCGGACATGCTCAGGCCCAAACGACCTACAGCAGAAAGTGGGACATACTAATTTTCTCAGTGTTGCTGCAGCTTCAGCACATGTCCCGGAGGACTGCACCGAGGCTACGACCTTGGTATACCACAATTGTATTGGTTGGTTCCAAATAGTCAGAATTAGCGGTATTTCACTCATCTGTTGCGGGTGGACTTCGAACTCTGATCTGTAATTCAACAGTTCGGGGGTGTACCAACTGAGTTAGGTCAGCTGGTTCTTGCGCCAACCCCGGCTGGTGTCAACTGCGCACGAGCCCAGATACCACAAAGGGTGTCATTTGGTACAGGCAGCAGGACGGTGGTCATGCAAGTCGAAAACCCCCTACGGAGTGAGCAGCAACTCGCCTGCCAAATCCGTCAGCCCCGAAATATGGGCGGTGCCGAAGTGCCCGGCCTATTGCTTGGTAGTCACGACTCCCATGCCGCAACGAGTAGGAGGGCGCAGGGCTTGCGGCGTAGCCTGCAGCACGAGCCCGGGTGGAGCAGGCCCCGGTGCAGATCTTGGCGGTAGCAGCAAATATTCAAATGACAGCATTGAAGACCGAAGTAGAGGAGGGTCTATGTGACCGACTGCTGCAGCCTGCGGCCTCCGCCATAGTGCGCCCATCCCACTGCCCCTAGGCACGGTCCTCTATCTTTCAGGTCCCCACGGGCATGGTTCATGCCGCACTGCTGTACCTTTTCAGATGGGACAAGGCCCTGGTCGTCTGAAGCAACGACGACTTGGTACTTTGCTGGTCGCATGGTGTCATCCACATATTGTGCAAGAACTGGTCAGCCGTGACTTCCCTCGTCCCGCGGCTACACAGGCCGCTGACAAAAGAGCACACAATTGGTACATTTTAGGATTTCGGCAAATCTGTGTGACCGGTCCCGCACCTCGCCGTTCCCAACGGGTTCGCATGTGTGTTGAACTCCTCAGCCCACGGTTTCAACAGTTCATGGGCGTATCCATTGAACCACGCCCCCGTAGTCCCCGCACACAACTCCGGTACCAGCGTTGTCGCCTTGCCCCAGAAGCGGGATCGACAACTAAAAATAACTAAAGAGAAATAAAAATAAAGGTAAAAATAAAAATACGAACGTCGAAAACCGGTGCTTTGGGGAAGAGAGACTGTCAGTACCACTCTCAGTTCCGCCGACCGGGCCTACGGATGGGCCGACAACAAAACCAAGGGGGATAGCCCCGCCGGGCCCTCAACCCCTCGGCATCTTCAGCCGCTCCGATGTACCATCCCCGCCGGTCGCCGCCTTCGACCCCTGTACCGTCATTTTCAAAGTCCAATGCCGCTACCAATAGTGCTAGTACCCAAGGCTGAGTTGGACCACCACAAGATTCAATATGAACTATTGTCGCACGACATGCGGGTCTACCGAAATACATCAAGGCTACTCCTCTGCCCACGGACCAAACTTACGATTGTCGACCTATGACGCCCGCCGCTCATAGGGCCTGGCTCCGCCCATGACCGTCAACCACCCGCATCTACCGCACGGAGGTCACCGCTTGCGTCCTACTTTCTCTCGCACACCCCAAGCACTGCCCAAAGCAACCCCACTTCTGATGACGCATGCCGTATGAACACAGATGTATCATGGTCACTTCAAGTAAAAAAGAGCTTCTCCTAGTTTTAATCAGAGCCAATTTTTTTTGCCAGCGGCATCAAGAAAAAATCATCACGCGCGCCTCAAATTGCGTGCCCACACACTCTCTACTCTAGTCAACTACTCGGTCAACGTAAACCATGGACTCAGTCGCGCCTCGCGCGGTTTACTTAGACTTTAAATCAAAACTATTTTTCTGTCACAGTGATTTGCAAAAACCAGGGTGGATACCCTTGTAAGGGTATTCGCACTGACACCGGGACCGTTTTCACATTCATTCAAGGAATTTGGTGAATTAGGATGCCGTGTAAGGACACCGAATTTCTGAAAAATCGGATTTCCAAGGAGGGTCTAAGGAGGCCCTATAATGACAATAAAATTTACCTGAAAGCCATCCTGTCCAGATTTGACAGGTCATGCCTCCTGAAAGGTCGGAGGCCCACTATTTTCCGAACCCACAATTTGCAAAATACCCCCATAAGTTGAGATATATGCCAAAATGCCCCTGAAAGATGTGGGTAGAGCCGAATGCCCTTTTGAGCCGAAATCTTTGTGTTGTGCCCCTGTCAGGCGGGTGTCCAACTTTGCAATCTGGATTGCCCCGTTTGGGCCTTGGCCTTTTGCAATAGCGCCTCGGAAAAGTTGTCAAGTACTGGGGCATTTCGCAAAGTTGGACGATACCCGGTAGGGGTATATTGCAAAGATGGGGGTCCAACCGATGCTAGGGGCATTTCACAAACTAGTTTACTTGTCAGAGGGGTATTCCGCTCTATCCACACCTTTTAGGGTCATTTTGGCAGAGATCTCAACTAATGGGGGTATTTTGCAAATTATCCCCTTTTTGGTTGGTTTTAATACTGTTGGTTTGGATAAGCATTTATCCGTTTGATATGCGGCGCATACCAGTACGTCAGTACTTGCAGTCGGGATCTCAGGCGTACTCTGACCTGCCTCTACCTGTCGGGTCTGCTGTGCTCTTGCTGTCGTTTCCTGCCCTGCGCTGCCCTTCGCTGCTTTGCTGGCATCTGCGAGCAGTCGGGATCCTGAAACGGGATGGCATTTTCAAAAGCGCACTTGCGTAGGCTGCTCTCGAGGAGCCTACCGATCGCGGTCGGGATCGCGGGGGCCGCCTGTGTCGGCGTCAGCGCCGGCTTAGGACTGGGGATCGCCTGGGCAGAGCGTGGGAACAGAAGCCCTCAAAAGGTCAGTGGCCGAAGCAGGAGAGAGAGAGAGAGAGAGAGAGAGAGAGAGAGACGTCGACTGCTGCATGTGTGTATGTGTGTGTGTGTGTGTGTGTGTGTGTGTGTGTGAGAGAGAGAGAGAGAGAGAGAGAGAGAGAGAGAGAGGAAACTAATGAAATGATGAATGTATGGCAAAGGAATGGCAAAGAGACGAAATGAAGGGAGTAAAGAAACTACATAGTTTGTCCTTTCCCTTTTTGAAACAGTATATATCGTCAAATAGATAACGTGCGCTGCTGTGATTGGTAAAGGGACTCTGCAGACTGTAGAGGGTTCAACCTCTCGTGATGTGTCAGTGGGGAAAACCTCTGACGAAACAGTGTGTCCCAACCTCTGACGAAACCGTTTCTTGTCGTTTTCGTGTTCTCCATGGACGATCGATCGATCCCATACGTTAGATGTGTATATGTTATCTATTTGTATGTTATATACATATAATATACATATAATATATATGTCATATATATATAGGGTTCAGCCTCTACTGATTGATGAGTCAGTCGGTGAAACACTCCGACGAAACAGTCAGTTTGTCACAGCCCCTCCCTCGTTTGTTGTCCTCTTCTTCCCCTCTCTCTCCTCTCTGCGTACTACGATTTACCGTAGGCAGCTCTGTTTGGCGACATATGTATATGTTATATTTACGTATGTTATATACATACAGTTGTAAGGAAGAAGTAAAAAATAAAGAAAATATTTTTTCTTGTTTTCTTTCTGTCTTTTTCGCTTTGCGCTCTGATAACTGTGACGATATATATATACACATACGTACATATATGTTATATACATGTACTATGTTGTCCTTCATCGACGATCGATCATATATGTTTGATGTGTATATGTTATATTTACGTATGTTATATATATATGTCTGTCTATATATATAACGAAACAGTTTGTCACATGACGATATATAACGAAACAGTTTGTCACAGCCCCTCGTTTGTTGTCCTCTTCTCTCTCTCTGCCTACGGTTTACCGGGCAGTTCTGTTTGTGACGATATATAGCGACAGTCTGTAGAGTTTTCCATCTGGTGTGGGTGAGTGATAGTCTACTTTGATTTTGGTTAAGGTAGATTATCATTTACAGTGTAATCAGTGAGGGGATTCTGCAGACTGTTGAGGGTTCAGCCTCCTGATGAGTCGGTNTATCATTTACAGTGTAATCAGTGAGGGGATTCTGCAGACTGTTGAGGGTTCAGCCTCCTGATGAGTCGGTGAAACTCCGACGAAACAGTTTGTCACAGCCCCTCGTTTGTTGTCCTCTTCTCTCTCTCTGCCTACTGTTTACCGGACAGTTCTGTTTGTGACGATATATAACGTTATATATATATATATATGATCGATCGTCGATGAAGGACATGAAGTCGGTGGAACTCCGACGAAACAGTTTGTCGCAGCCTCCCGTCTGTTGTCCTCTTCTCCTTCTCTGCCTACGCTTTACCGGGCAGCTCTGTTTGACGATATATATATATGATTCTATGTTGATAAATAGAGAGATGTGCATATGTAAGGACGTACGCATATCCATTCGATCGATCGTCGATGAACCCAATCTAACCTAAATGTGAATGAACACGAAACGTCTGATGGTTCTGCATACTACCGTAGTTTCAGCACAAGTTCATTGTGAGACTTGTGTGCGCGGACTTGTATTTATCATTATGAGAAGCGTGTACGAAAAAAAAAAAAAAGACAGCTGGCCCTTATTTTCGCTTCTTCTTCTTCTTCTTCTTCTTCTTTTTTTTCTTTTCTTAAGGTGCCCCAGTGCCCTCAGGCTTTGATTACGAATTATGGACTAATAAAACAGATAATACCGGGGCCCTTATCGCCGGACCCCATTTCCGGCTTCAGCTTATGCCATCCCGAACCTATAATTTAACCGTACCCCTATAATTTAACCGTACCCCTATAATTTAACCGTACCCCTAGAATTTAACCTTACGTAGAATTTAACCTTACGTAGAATTTAACGTATGTTGAGCCTGACCCCTCAGTTCACACACTGAACTTGACTGTGATTGCGGGCAGGTTCGTAATTATTCGGTCTGGTTACCATCATAGCTTTACTGTGTTGATGGGGACGCTGGACCGGGTCCCGCCCAACTATGGAAAACTCTGCCTCTCGCGGTAAGGACCCGCGGTAAAGATAACAGCAGGAAGGACCCGCGGTAAAGATAACACCAGTAAGAACCCGCGGTGAAGAGACACCGCCAGAATTAACCGGTCCAGCGTCCCCATCAACCAGAAAAACGACGACGCAAAACAGTGATGAAGCTACCTTCTTCACCCGAATAGAACGGCCGGGCATTATCGCTGTATCTGGACTGAAAATTGCCCCGGATACAGCTATAATGACCGGGCGTTCTATTCTAGTGAAAACGATAGTCACATTTTTCTTCTTCTTCTTCTTCTTCTTCTTTTTCTGCGTCTTCTTCTTCTCCCCTCCCTCTCTCTCTGTATGTCTGTATAATTTTGTCTGTCTGTCTGTCTGTATCTTTCTCTGTCTCCTCACATCCTACGAATAGAGGGATCCGACGACCTTTCACTCACTCACTCACTCACTCACTCACTCACTCACTCACTCACTCACATCAATCCCTTTTTTTTGGGTTAATCAGTGCATAGCACATGGAACCTTTGTCGAAGTTTCTGCAAAAAGTTGTTTACATCGACGGGGATGAATCGGTCGGTTCTTTCTCGTTTTTTCTTGTTCGGGTCTTTCTTTCTTTCTCTGCTTTCTCTGCTTTTTAAAAACTTCCTTGGCCAATTTGCATTTGTGCCTTTAGCTCTCCTCCCCTCCCCCCCCCCAAAGCGCTCCGCCGGAAAAAAAAAAAGAAGAAAAAGGAATAAACTTTGGAGCATCATATATGAACAGACGCAATGTCTGCCCTCAGGCTAATAAACGCACCGAAAGAAAAAAGAAAGAAGGTAGATGTATAGGTCCTGGCTCGTAGATTTTTTTTTTTCTTTCTCTTTTGAGTCTTTTTTTTCTTTTTTTCTTAACCTTTCCCGAAGGACCGATTGCCGTCCATTTGCTATCGTTTAGTAATTTGAGTTATAGATCGATCGATCCATCCATCTATAGATTTAGTTATGGATGGAGTTATAGATCGATCGATCCATCTATAGATTTAGTTATGGATGGAGTTATAGATCAATGCATCTATCCATCTATCCTTTTCGACAATTCGTCGAACTGATTCGTCGATAATTAATCAATTTATTCATCGAGTATTCATCTATCTATTATGTAATGAGATGATTCAACGATCCGTCCGTCGATCGATCGGTCGATCATGGTATCTTGGTTGTTCATTCATCGATGATTCATCTATGATGATCGATCCATTATAATTAACTCGTTCCGTCGATCGAGCGATCCCTTCGATCGATTGATCATCCTTGATGAATCGTCGATGAGTGATCGGTAGATCGATCCGACGATCGATTGATCATCCTAGATGAATCGTCGATGAATGATCGATCGATTCGGCGATCGATTAGATGGAATCATCGATGAATGATCGATCGATCCGGCGATCGATTGATCATTATAGATGAATCGTCGATGAATGATCGATCGATCGATCCGGCGATTGAGTGATCATCATAGATGGAGTCATCGATGAATGATCGGTCGATCCAACGATCGATTGATCATCATAGATGAATGATCGATGAATGATCGATCGATCGATCCGCCGATCGATTGATCATCATAGATGGAATCATCGATGAATGATCGATCGATCGATCCGCCGATCGATTGATCGAATAATGGTCGTGGAGGATGAATGAGACAGATGGACGGATCTGATTCGTCGATGAGAAGACGATCGACGTTTTCTACGTCAATGGAGAAAGTGGTGTATGAAGCCACACAGCGTGACCGATCCTTGATTCCTCGGTCGATCTATTGATCAATCAATGGTCGTGGTGGATGGATAAGACAGCTGGACGGATCTGATTCGTCAGTGAGAAGACGGTCGACGATCTGAGAAACTTTGTAATCGATCTTTTTTTTTTTTTTTTTTTTTTTTAG